CATTTCTGGACCCTCAGCTTCACTAGTCATCCTGTCCCACTTGCTTAGCTACCTAAATTCTCCTGAAATTTTACACTTCAATTTTCATTTATAATTTCAGATAAATGTGGATCTTACTGGCCTGAAATCTCACTGGTTATTTATCCCATTAACCTTTTAGAAAAACAGGTATAATATTTGTTACTTCTAGTTCTTTTGCACATAAATGTTTTTTAATGAAGGACTATGTATTCTTAGCAGATCAGCCTGTTTATTCTGAAGCTCTTTCAGCATTTTTGGATGTTCACCATCTGGGCAGGTTGACAACTTGCTAACATACTGGTGTCGCTATCCAGGCCTTCGAACAGGAAGGGAGAATGGGTCAGAAAGTCCTTTTTCAATTGAAATAATTCAGTAGGAAGAATAAAGTAAGGCTGAGTTGAAAACAACTTTTGAGAATTCAGAAACTGATTCGATGAATGGGAGATTGGGAACAGTAACATAATTATTGCTATCATCCATTTCCGTTTATTTGGAGTATAAATAAACAATTATATGAATATAAATATGCATATTTAGGGGCAAATTGCTTTCTACTGTAACAAATTTGAAGACAGAAGTATTACACTACCATAACTAATTGGAGCGATTCAAAGTCTCAAAGCACAAATACAACACCACTTCTGTATAGCACACTGGAGGTCTTTGTAGTTACAGTTCATTTCAGGAAAATTCCTGAATAGAAATAGGGTTAGGTTTGCCTCTGAGCACTTTGTTTAAGTGAACTATAAACAGAGACATGCCTGTAACACCAGCTATTAGAATTCAGAGTCATCAGTAAGGAAGAAAAGTTGCCATTAGCAGTAAGTCAGGCAGTGTACCGCAGATCGGTCTGGAGGAGTTGAACTCCCCAAGACCTCGACATTTATCGGTGAGTTCCCAGCCACAGAAACACAATCAGCCCTTCTAATCAATAGGAGTCTAAATCACAGCTTTACTACCACACTTAGGTCTCCAGATCAGCAGGAATGAGAGGGGAAGGCTTGCAGGCATATGAAAGGTAGTGGGAACTGTTGGCAATATGTATAACAAATCAGAGAGAAAACCTGCTAGGCAGTGGGGGAGGCATTAACAGCTGAGTGAATTGAGTGCTTGGGTTTGCATTTTCCATCTGCTGAACCTGGCTTAACTTCTGTCTGGCCCTGGCAAGGCTCTGGCCCTTGCAGTGGGTGGTAGTATACTCACCACTCACTTTGTGCCACCACGGCTGAGGCTGATGCAGCAGAGAGGTGTCAAGAGGAAAAAAAATCCACATATTGGGATCATGGATGTAGTGCATTAAGTTTGTAAGCCTCTTACTGCATTTTGCAAGAACTGGGTGATTATCTGGATTTTCAGGGTTCCCCACTGAGGAGAAACACATTACGTGTTTCAGAGAAAGGAAAAGGCTTCCTTGAAATGGAAAACTTCTGCTCTCTTGAGACTTGCTGTGGGCTTCTATTCTGTTCCTAGTTGTAACATTTTGGGCATGCTGACTTCTCTGCTTTCTCTTGGTGCTATTGTCAGTCTGAGGACTTTTTGTTACTTTCATAGTTTAAATATTCTTTATTTTCCATTGAATGCTAACACAATATATTTTAATGCTTATATACATAAATACAGATGTTAGTGAGCTTCCCACTAGAACATATCCAAGAATATAATGTTATTAACTATGCTAATAATTATTTCCCATCCTCAAGCATACTTCAAGTGGCTGTTACAACCCCTTCAAATAAAGTTTTAAAATTAAAATATTTAGGAGAAGTTATAATTAAAATTAAATACAAACCAATAATACATTTCTGTTTGTTCTGTTACCTTACACAACAAGGTATTTCCTTACTGAATTTCTTTCTTAGTAGGAAGACTGTATTTTGGAATATTTTTTGAAATAAGAAGAAACAAAAAACCCTGCAAGTCCTAGGCATTGCAATAGACAAAAAAAGCTACACGTGGTATAGTATCAGGTATTCTGAATGTATTTTATATATCTCTTCCCAAGTAGAGAGGTGCATATTCTTTTATATTTGTGCTCTATTAAAAATCTAATGAAGTAGTTGTAGGAATACAATACTATTCCATTAATGTTCTTTTTTTTCTGTCTTAGACATTAACATGACTAAGCAGCATCAAGGATCAGCAGTATCCATTAATAACCTTCAATACTGCCTTCTGTAATACATTTAGTACCTTACATACTCTGTCACTCATAAACAAAACAATGAGGGAGTTTAGAAAATCCGTTACAACTACAGAAGACAGCCAGTCAGCCACAAGTAACACAGACTTTGCTGAAAGAAATACATTTTTTTAAACAGCATTTTTTAAAAGTATCAATGTATAAATGATAAAAGGTTCTGTTTTAGTTTTTTTCTGACTCTTCCACTGATATCAGCAGTACTGAGCAGAGAAACAGGAGGGAATAAGCCTTAGCTTTATGCTCAGATGAGCTGTTAAAATGCCCAGTCTCTGAAATCGGGAATAAACAGCACAGGGAGCCACCTAATGAGCCTTTACGCTCTTCTACATTAAGGATTATGAGTTCTGTTCTAAAAATACCCCAGTTCCTTATGTGGTACAAAGAAATGCTGTAGTCACACAAGAGGAAACTGGCTGTTGTCCCTGTGAGTCTCCACCTGACATAATGAACTAGAGAAAGGGATTTTCAAAAGAAAACAGGTTTATATTCAGCATTTTATAGTAATTAGCTGACCTCCCAAAAATGACATAGGCATTAAGAACTTCCCAAATCACTAGTGCTTGACTACAGAAAAAAGTTTTCTGAAGGAACAACCAAACTGATACTGCCGTTGTGCTCTCCAGCAGATTGCTCCCTTGCTACTCTCCACTGTACCATGGCTCGTTTTATATGTATTGTGAATGTAAAATTCGAGTGACTCACACCCTTGCAGGCATTTAAATTTCTCTTTTAAACCCAGGAGTAACAGTGAATTCCTGTAAGTCTGACACATAATTTCAGGAAGAGGTTAACTCAGGAGGACAATCATAGCACTATGATAGCATAAGCCTTAGCCAGCATAGCTGGCTGGCTCTGAAATACATTTCCATGAAATGTAACTTTTTCAAGGTACACTGTGAGGCAATATGTTGTTTGTAAATAAATATTGGTAGCAGATTAGCAAGTTTCTCCAACTCCACTTAAATTCAGCCAGATGTTTATAATATGTTCATAACGAGAAGGTTGCATAGCCATTATCTTTACAATTTGATAGAGAGGGCATGTAGGCAAGTATAATAGGAAAAATCAGATCAAAACCAGTGGACATAATTCAATAGGACCTTAAGTAAAAGATTGAAACAGAAGACAAGAAGAAATAGAAAAAACGTAATGGTTTGCTGGTAGATTGGAGACGAGTTAATGACTTTGTATTTCATTCCTTTACCATGCAAAGGGCACTGAAGAAGAAATGGACAAACTGAGTTTGCAATCACAGATGTGCAGCCAACATTGAGAAATAATAAAAAATATTATTTGAGTTCATCTGGGGTTTGAAATCATGCTCATGTAACAGCTAAAATTATATAAAGGAAATATGGTTTGACAAATAAAGGAAACTGCCAAACAAGAGCTTATTTAATTATGATTTTTAGAAATGTATTTATTAATTAAAATTTTGGATGTTTCAGCTGTGAAACATAGTTTAAAATCTTTCTACTCACATTGTAAATACTTATGGAATAGGTAGTTATTAAGCCAAATGCTTAGCAGAGCATATGCAGCTATGGATAAAAAGGCATCCGAAAACTTAACCTACTAGAGTAGTATCATTCAGGTGAGATTTTTTTCTTTTCAAATAATATTAAATATAAAAACCTTCCATTCATCATTACAGAAGCATACCATTTAGGACTGGCTTCCTAAATATACATTAATCAGCTCATGTGATTAGCTGACATGCACAGTACTATTAGTTTTATTCACCAGACAACATCTGTGAATGGTAGAAATGTCTAGAAATGAACACAGTATTCATGTATCTATTTTAAAGATGGCACTGAAGCACAACGCTTGATAACTTATCTGAATAGAAAGGTGTCTAAAATAAACTTGAGCTTTCTTCCTGAGCTGCACCGAATCATCTTCAGCATCAGTGTAGGTTTCTCTCAAGTGGTGCACTAGATGAATGTAAACAAAAGACTATTTTAACTTTGAGCTTGTAATGTATTTTGATGCCACATTCAGATTTGGCACAATTTAAGATATAGTTAGCTTCCCTTGAGTAGTATACACTATAGAAATTGACTTTATCCTGCCACATTCAAAGTTCCCTGAATTTAAGAAGTACTTGGTACTAAGACTCATTGCAGGGTTGTGGAAAAAAATTACTTCCCATTTGCTAGCTTCATTCAGAATAAGGAATAAATTCATTGGAGACTAAATAATTGCAATTCCAGTGGAAAGACTTGACAAGGATACAAAATTCATGCAAGTGATGTGTGACAGTTCAGCTATAGGAATAATGCTAGCTGAAAAATAAGCTTTGCTTCTAGCTTTCAGCACAGTAACAGCCCCAGTGCTGTACAAGAGATTTGTTTTGTACTGCTTCAGCATCAGGTGAAGAAACACAGACCTTTACCTTGTCTTTTCTTCTGCCAAGCTGATTTTAGATTTTTAGAAACAGCTATACACAGTACAAAGGCCTATCCTACAATCAGATGTGTATAACTGAACGCTTTATCCTACAAGCACATCTAGATAACTGAATTATTTTTTCTGGTTAGAGTTCTGTTTAAGTCAGTGAAGCTTTACATAAGTGCAAGGATTGTCCAGGTGATAGTTTATAGGCTTGTGTTTCAATGCAGTATTTTTATCAAGAACTTCTTGTTATTAGTAAAACCCACCTGATCTTTCGTGCATCTTCTATGCAGTACAACACTGCACTGGGCAATATGCCTTCTTGGCTTTATTTTATGTGTATAATATATACACAAATTAAAAGTATCACCTGAAAATAATATTTGGAATGTGAAAGACACAAAATGTAAACATTTTATTTGGCAGTTGTTTCAAACAGGTGAATAAATAAATGGAAAAGTACATCTTAATATTCTTTATAGCAACAGATGCAGTTGCACATGTATTTACATATTGTGGATGCAAAGAACAGTTAATTTAATTTCTTTTTGTTAAAAAATGCAACTTCCAACACCACTAGACTTGACAATTAAAGATGAAGATACTAGTAATACTTTGTTCTAGCAATCTCAACTTTTAAAGGCATTCATTTGGAAGTAAGATAAGAGAGTCATCATGCATTTAGTTCATTTTGTCCGCTTATGGCAGAAAGTCTGATGCAATCTCAGAATTACGAGTGTCATGCGCTTAAGTCAACTATGACATGTTTATAAATCAATGTAGTTCCCTTAAAACTTGAAGCAAAGAGAAAATCTCGTTTATCGATGGAGACATGTATGAAAGATCTTGGTGCCTGCACGTTTAATTCTTGAAACTTCACAAATTTTGCCTTTTCCGCATCCCAATAATAGACTTGAGTGAAAGAATAATCACTTCCAAGAATGGCATATTGATAATTATTTATCTGAAGTGGTTGGAATACCATTGACCCTCGGGATGGCATCCTTTGTAAATCCAGAAATGCTGAACCACCCCATTTCATTACTTTAGAGTCCCCAATAAATCTTGTTAAGCAAATGTATACATCCTCTTTCACCTTGAAATGCTTCACTGCATATGCATCTTCCATATCTTGAATATCAAACCGCTTAACAAATTCATTTGTTCCTTTGTTCCATTGATATATTACAGGTCTTTGTGAACTACTTGACAGAATTAAATGTGGTTTGCCAGATATTTCAAGATACTCCACATCAGTATCTCTGTACCAGGCATGCAGAGACTGATGGGAATAAAATCCATTCCCATTCCACTTGTAAACCGTGGTGAAACCAGCCTTTGAACTGTCTGCAACAACAAAATACCAGTCTTCAGCAATCCTGAAAGTTTCAATGTCATTGGGTTTTCGGATTTTAAGGATTTCAATATCTTGAATTTTTATAAACTTATTAGCAAAAATATCTCTTTTGTATATGTGGGAGCCTCCAAACAGCTGTGCAACAATGACATACAGCTGACTCTCAATAACTATAGGTTTGCACACAACAGTTGAAGTACCTATAAAAAGAAAAGTAAGAAACAGGATTAGTACCATTTTTTGGATAATTTTTTGCAATGTTATTTGTCAAGCAGTGTTCATACCTGTAATGTTGTCGTAATTCCTGAACATCACTTCCACATGGTCCCATTCAAGAAAGATGCATTTTCCAGTAAAAGGCTGAGCAATAACCACATGTTCATCATTCATATATGAGAAGGTATCTACTGACAGAGATTGGTATGGCAGGGACTGATAAACTTCGAATTCTGCAAATTGCACACAACAGATGATAATTACAGAGATACTTGACATACTGTACTGAAAAAAACATCTGTTTATCAGATACCAATTTATTACAAATTACAGTATTTCATCACTAGTCAAATTTTTCTGTTGATAAAGGAGTACTGCAATTTGATTTTCAATCTTCCTCAATAAAAAAGGTACTGTTTTATGTTCCAGTTTTCCAAAGCATTATGTAACATCCTAAGTTTGAGTAGATACTGAAATATAGGACCCTGCTCCCAACTGATTTCCATGTCACACTTAGACCAGCAGAGTTCATACTGATTTTAGTAGAAATTCCATCCAGAATGGAGTGTTCCTGCAAAAATGGGTTCTAGAATGAAAAACTACAGCTTTGACTTTAACAAGATTAAATAATTTGAGACACATTACCTGTAATAATGCAATCAAACTCTTTTGGAGAGAGGCTATTGATTTTGCGCTTCTTATATTCTGGTGGGCTTTCACAGTAAATGTCTTCAACAGTTGCATTGGTGCTGCCCAGCCACTCCACTAACCACTTCAGTTTGCAGTCACAATTAAATGCATTGCCTCTAAGATCTCTACAACAAATAAATCATGCACTGAAAATAAGCAGTCAGCTAAAGTATTTCTCTTTGATAACAACAAAACAGGCTCTTGTTAAATATGTGCCCTCTTGCTTCTTCTTACTTGAGGCCTTCCCGGCTTAATTTGTCCTGACCCATGGTTAAATCTACATACCAGAACCCACACAGATTTAATTATATTAAGGTAATCAAGGAGACCTTAACTTGGTGATCAGTCAGAAATTTTTATCAATTTCCCCAAGTTTACAGGTACACAAAAGCCTCCCAAACTAATGACCCCTGTTTCCTTTGGATTACCCTTTCTCAGTAGAAGCATTCTAGACAACAAAATAGGAATTAATGTAACCTGATGCTCAGCCAGTCAGTATTCACTATCTCCTTTAGATACACTCATTTAGGGCTTCAGGAGAGACAAGCAAAGGAGCCCTGTTTAAGGCTTTACAACTGTCTTCAGTCAGATTTCTGATCCTATGTACAGGAACAGCAAGCACCAGGACCAGACTGTGTAACCACCTGGCCACGATCAGCCTTGCCAAGTAATGCTCCAGATATGCTGCCCATGGCCACATCTCACTACTGCAGCTCTGCTCTAGCGATTCAGCATACCCTGTTAATACTGGGAGCAGGCAAAGGATTTCCTGAGCTTATCATCCCAGATCAGATGGAACAGGATTTTGTATATTGTAAACAGGATCTATTCACTAAAGCAATTATAAGATTTATCTGTTTATCTAGATTTTGTATTTTTACTGATATATTTATATATATATATATATTTAAAAAAGGTGATGTTTTGATCTGGTTGCAATTAGATTTAGTATGGGATACTTACTTAGACACATGCTTTATTGATAAAAGTTAGCTTTCCCAGGAATTGCTTGCACATTAAAATATTACTCCATTAAATACCTTCCACCTTCCCTGCATGCCTTGCTCTCTCATGCATCCCTAAGGATCCTCCCTTCTTATTCACAAAATCTTAATGAACATGCAGCTTTATTACATAACTACTAACAATATTACTTATCTTCATAAGTAATATTCAAAACCATCACAAATTCTCAACAACAGCAGACAAAAAAAACCAAGCCTACTCATACTGTGTAGTCTCTACCCAGTAACAAGATCCATTACTGGTTACTGGTTTGAATGGTTACTCAGAATGTCCTCTAAAATAATCTCCTTATACTTCTATTGTAATTAAAAGATTAATTAATTGATTTCTTACACATTTGTTAAAGAATCCAAGCCTTTAAATATGTCTTTTGGAAGTGACTGCAGATTATTATTTGCAAGACTCCTGTAAAAGAAAACACTTCAATATTAGTGCTAGTTGTTCATGAAACTACACATTTTTGCAAATAGAAATATACTGTGTGGGGTTTTTTACTTACGGGAAAGAACACTGGTATTCTCCAGCACTTAGTTCTAAAATATTGCTTTTAAGAATAGCTCATTTACTTTGTGACTTTTCCTTCCACTAAAATGCCATGCCTCCTTCTGTTTTCTCACTGTTCAGCAGCCTTGCAGCATTTACAATACTTCACTTAGCAGAGTAAAAAGTGCTATCACCTTTGATGTTTTGCCAACACCATTTAACGTTTTAAAATAATTAGTCATGATTGGATCTATTGATGTTTTCCCTATGAGATCCTAATACATGGTGCTCATATCACTGCAATTTCCCCACTTTCTTGCACCTCTTCTGGAAAGAAAATCTTACTAATATGGGCTGATGGGCTTAGGCTTAGTTCACAGTTTTTGAAAATATGCAGTAATAGGCAATAAATTGCTGATCGGTGTGAACTGCTTTCCTGGCATGTGCATGTGTGTGTATAAAAGTGTATTAGACCAGCAAAAAAATGTTATTAATTCCCAGTTTTCGATGTTGGGAAAACTTGTTTAAATTCAGTGAGTATTCCAGCTATCAAGAGTGACAAGGAAATGTGAGCAGGCTTTGAACAAACAGTATATTACATTTCAGTCTGACTGTCTCTGTGAGTCTGCCAAAGGTCTCAGATGTCACAGAGGGCATGACAGAAAAATAATAATGTTGTAGGGTATAGTCTATGCCTCTTCCAGTTAACAGAATTATTTATTACTTATGAGAAGAAACAAAAACGGAAAGAAATCATTCTTTATTAAGATCCCAGTTAGAATCTGTAGCTAGTAAGATTTAGAACCTCTTCTGTTTTACCTTGTAAACATAAGTGTTATTTATCAACCACAATTTCTCTAGCCAAGCAAAGACTTAGGCACATACTTAAGTACAAGAACAAGCCTACATGTACTAGGTCTGCTGCTTCATTTCAAAATAAGTGTTTGATCAGTAATAGTAAATATGGGATGCTTCTATTAGTCCATTCTGACTTCACCACTTTCAAAGTACTTCTGATTGTAACACTGTATGTGAATGTATCTTGTGCTTCACTTATGTGCAATTTTATGCTCCAGAGCAATTCTTTAAAAGTCATATAACTCACATGGAGAAAGCTGAGTGGATTTGCAAGCTGAGACAAGTTTAATGCCCTATGTTGTTTTTATATGTTATTATACAACAAACTAAAGGAGAGGGTGTACTTGGAAGTAAGAGTTGTTCACCACTGCCATGGGTACAGGACTGACAGAATTTAAGCAAGGCTTATGCATTTACCAATTTTTGAATCAAAAGTATGTATTTTACAGTCCACTGTTAAAAAGCATACTTACATATTAGAAAACACTGTCTTGCCTAGATGGTGCTGTGTGTGGTATTTGGATTATAATAAGAGAGTAAAGGTTGGCTCAAACATGCAGTTAAATTAATGATGACAGTTCCGAGAGAAATGCAATCAGAATTATGTATTGTGCATAGAAATTATCCAGTGCTAACTGTAAGATTCGGACATTAAATTAGTAAATTAGTAAAAAAATGCAATCTTTTAAAAAATTTTCTGTTGTTAAATTTACTATGACCAGAAAATAAATTCTTTTGCACAATAATAAATTCTAGATGGCTGTCTTTTACAATAAGGACACACTGTTATTATTGAAGTTAATTGCATTATAGAAGTAAAAATGTTTGGATAGCTTACTGCATTCCAGAATTTATGTTGCAAAAAGGAAGTAAATAGAATAAATAGAACAAAGTTCATCTTGTCTAACTTCAGAGAACTTATTTGCATGCTCATTTACTATTACTATTTTTAATATATTTTATGTACACAAGGACTCTCGTTTCTTAAATGAAAAGTGCCTCAGAGCACCAAATGATAATTCTTTATGTGTATATGGAATTTGCCCCAAAAGATGGGGAGTGGTTCTTCAAGCAGATTAAGCTAGTGGTGCCTTTGCAGTTATTCTCCACAAATTTCTCATTGTCTTTGTGAATTGTGCTCCATGGACAATAGCAGCATGATGCACAAATCTACGTCCCAAAAATGTGCATGCAAGTGGAAGTTGCTCCTCAAATGTGGATCTGTCTTTTGCATATGTTTTCTCTTGTGAATCTCCTGAAGCGTCCCCAGAAACCAATGCAACAGCAGGACAAGACGTTAGCCGTGGACTATATGCTCTGTAGAGAAGAATCTGTGCCTTCCTCTGTTTTAGAAAAGCAATTTGTTCACTGGCAGTAGCAGCTAATAAATAAGTAAATGAATATGATAAATAATGTACTGGACCCATTTGTGAATATACATGTGCATAAATATTTTGAAGATAGGGTCCAAGTTACCAGTCTTATCCAGCTACCTTTTTTTCCTAACAGCATAATTCTGCCTGTACCTCTAATATGGATGTTATGGGATGTGCACAGCCTTTTTATGTACCTCTTTCCCTCTCCTTTCTTGTTCCTCTTCCTCAGTCCTAAAGCCGTTCCATAAGTAACTTTATCTACATGAGTAGTCACAGTAGGCTTGGTTCCAGCCAGCTGTAAATCTTGCCCTGACCAAAAGGGTAAGCATAAAGTGTTTTATGGTACATTTACTAGGTGGTGAAGATGTGGTGAATTGCAATTCAACTATTACATTTATGCATTAACTGTTTAAAATTGAATCTCTGCTTTCTCTCCTCTGTCAAAATATATGAAAGAAAAAGTTAAATGGCCCTGTTTCAAAACCCTCTTAGAGGTTATCATGTTAAGGCCAAAAGGTCAGGATCCCCTCCCCTGCCTATGACACTCACCACGTGACATGCTTCAGAATGCAGATGCTCAGAACTGGGTCAGGCACACTACAGACTTTTCTCCTTTTCTTATTTTGTATTTTTTTCTGTTTTCTTATAGTGTGTATTTTGTTTTTTAAAAGTTTATTCCTCATTAAATTAAATTATTGCTAAAAGATAAACTTGCTGTAAGATAAGAGACAAAAGCCTGTATAAAAACTGTCTTCCTAGCTCAGAGACAAGGAAGCTACTCTTGTTTGCAGTGAAATGTTGCAGGTATTTGTTGCCAGTGTATGTCTCACCTACTGAGCACAGTGTGAGAAATGCTCCTGCTGGTGAGGGCATGGGGAGCATTGCCCTACAGCACATTGGCATCCAGAGTGCCTTGGAGCAATTTCCCCTCCCAGCTAATGCAGCAAGGGGCTGCACCACGTCAGAGGGCAAGAGCTGGCCATGTTTCCAAGACAGCCAAAGAGCTGAGCAGCACACAAGGAATGGTAAGCAGATCCCAGTGTCAGTGTATGACAGGTCCTGACTGCGGGATGCTCCTGCTCCCATGCAGGAGAGGACATGGTGCAGAGTAGGGTAGGTGCAGAATGGAAGAAGTAGATCAGTAAGTCGTAACAAATATATCTTGTTGCAAGTCTTCTATTTAAAAGCGCTCTGGGTGGGAGTTTTCAAGTTTGATTTAATCAAATTCTTCTGTGTACTATTACTGTGTTAAGAGGACATGGGCACAGACAGTGATGGCCTGTCCCAAGAATGTCTGTAATATTCTCCTGAATCCAGGGGTACCTGGGAAGAAGTGTGGGTCCATTCCTCAGCCTCTCACATTCCTAACCACAGCTCCCACCTTCCTTCTTTCCAAGTCCCAAACTGGGACTCATCTCATCCAGTGCCAAGATTCCCAATTCATACTCCTCCCTGCTCCTACATGCTCAGCTGGAAATCCCCTGTGCTCCAAGCAGAGAAAGTCTGGGAACTACTGCCAAACAAGTAGTGCTTGGAAGCTGTTTGTGTCTTTGCCTTCTACACATACCACAGTTTGGAAGTCTTTGTGTGGAAACACAAAGATTAACATTCCAATCAAATTACTATTAATGCCATTTAAATAACTGTGAACAGTTATATACGAAAATAAGAAATTAAACAACACAGTGGTTCAGTTACTATATTAAATATACAAAGTAATATATGTAATCACTTTACTTACAGGTGAATTAGAGATTTCAGTCCTCTGAAAGTATTTCTTGAAATGGACTTAATGTTGTTGTTCTCTATGAACCTGTAACGGGTCGTAAAGTGATTCTGGTCAAGCAATGCCTGGAAACTGGAAGCCCACCCACTATATTCAATAATGCCAGGAAATACACTTTTGTCCACTCACAAATATTCTAGATGAGGAAGGCCCATGAAAGCATCATCACTAATAACATCAAAAGTGTTGGACGTAAACAACCTGAATAAAGAAATGCAAAACAAAAGACCATTAGGTTATCAGCAGCTTTAGAAAATGGTTCAGCAAGGCCAAATTCCCACTGCCTGGTTGCATGTTTTTTCTGTGCAAGCACTATAGGACTGTAAGTCTGATAGATTGCACCACAGTGTGGTGCAAAGGGAAGGATCCAACAATTTTCTGCTGGGGACATCTGATAAAATTCCTTTGACTTCTGTGGGATGTAAACGTGGGTTTATCATGCCAGTAAAACAATGGGATTGTACAAGTGCCTCTGGAGATATACTAAGACAGAATGAAATCTTCAAGTACTACAGAGGTTTAAATTGTCTTGGTTTAAATTGCTGGTTAGCCTGACATCAGGTTGAATTTGCAACACTGGCAGGAAGGAAAATCCTTTAACTCTTAAGTTAAACTTCTGAGTGTATTTGACCCGAGGGTACTGAAAGTTACTGTGAAAAAAAAGAAAAATCTCTTAAATTCAGTCAGTGTTCAAGTCAGAATTATTTTTAAGAACTCATTATACCTCTTGGAGATACTCTTAGCATATACATCTAACAGTAAAAATACCAGCAGCACATTTAATTTTATGTAATTTTGTAATCATTAAAAATGGACTGTATATGTACTATTGATTTTTCCAGCTTTATTTTTGCTTATCAGCCATGTTAGCATTTGTCCATTATAATCTAGCCCTGGACTGCTACCCTTTTAATGTGGTGGGACATCATAAAGTACAATGGACTTTACCCCAGTGGAATACTACATGCATATCTATATTTTAATCAATTGAATCGATTGACCTGATGGATAAATAGACTCATACTATGGCATCCTTAGACATTCAGGAATGCAAGATTTCCAAGTACTAATTAATCCACTTAATGAGTTAATCTCTTATGTTGATGTTTACATTCAGAATAAATTGCAGGTAATTTATTTTCTCAGTTGGCTGTTGCAGATTGTGTTTTTTCCAGTTTCAGTATATTTCTATATGAAATTCATGAAAAAAAATACAAGCAGGAAATTCCTCCTTTTTGTCAAAATCAAGAAATACTTCAGTTTTAGAGAAAACAAGTAATTTTATAGAATTCTTGAATCAGATGACCAATTTATTAAATCTTGCAACTAATTATTTGATTTTACTGGTTAATTTTTTTCTTTTCTGCACTCTACTCAATAATTTACAGAACAGGGTGGTATCTCTTTAAATAGTATGGCTATTTTAGAGATTGCCAGGCTAACAGCATAGGTCTTGCACTTGGTGAGCTCATTTGCCTTCCAACTCATACCTCTCCCCAAAGGCTACAGCAGATGTATTTGATGCACAAAGTATATTCTACCCCAATTTGTCCTCAAACCGTAATTGCTGCTTCCAGGGATAGAGGCTGAAGGTTTGGCGCTGTAGCTAGGGACTGCATCACTTGGCAGGAAAAGCAGAGTTCTAGCAGGTACAAATCCTGCTGCCATGATTACCTCCCTACTTTCTGCAGGCTTTCATGTCATCAGTTTATAAAGGCACCCTCAGCATGTTGCTGATACACTGAGGTAAAAGTGCTGAAGATAGAGCTGGGAGGTTTTCTCTACATTTCGGGAACATTCCTGCTGGCACTTCACCATAGCTGTGTAGGTTCTTTGTATTTTTGTTGTCACATGAAGAGCACAGAGCATACCATCCATACTACACAAGAAAAGCTCCCCTGGACTGGGAGTTTTGAGTAGTGTTTAGCTCAAGGCCATGATTTTTCCGGAGACCATTGGTGCCACTACATTAAAAATAGTAGTAAATAATAATAGTGGCAGAATTACACCATATTTAGACTGCTGTATTGGAGATATCCAATTACATTTGGATTTCAAAAATGTAATGCTGAAGATTATTTCCATATGTATTTCTATTATTATAGAAATGCATATAAGCTGCTAAATCTTGCTGTTGACTAAATTAAACCTACCAATACAGCTATAATCATGCAAAGTTAAAACTTCCTGAAATGTTTAATTAACGTAAGTTTTCCATATTCTTATTTCCCTTACTATCTTCTGCAAAAGATGAAAATTTTTCTTTCCCACGTACGAACTGGAGTGTTGTCCCCACAGATACAATCCTGCTCCTATGGTCTGTGTTTAAGGAGTCAGTTGCCTTAGATCAGCAGACTGACATTCCAAAGATGGCAAGCAGCTCAACTACCACGTTAAAAATATATCTGGAAAACACATCACTCATCAAAGCCCACAGTGGAACAAACCCTGCTTTTCTGGGGTCACAGTTTTTGTTGCAGCATTTATGAACAGCAGTGTAGAATGTGCATTTCATTGCACAGTAGGAAAGGAAATTATTATCATTACCAAAATGCCAGAAGATATTGCCCAAGCGCACCGTGCCAGGCACTATAATAACTCAAAATAAGATGACTGTGTCTGTCCTACTCTACCATGCCCAAATCTGCCTGCTTTGCAGTGGGATTGCTAAGTGTAGGTGGTGTATCGTAGCCAAGAGAGATGATGTCCTACTCACTCTCTTCAGATACAAGCCTCACCAGTGATGCTGCTTTTTTTTTCCTCTCCTTTGAAAGGTCCATTGCAGCAATTATGTGAAATGTGTCTCTTTTGTGATCTGTGACCACCTGAAAAAAGCTTCTCTGGAATAAAGCACCATGGAAAAGCATTTAGGTTTCCATAGTAACTGCATTTACCTATTTACCCTGTATCCAAAATTGTACAGTATATCTGCACCTCCTTATCAGCTCCACTTGAGGTAGCAGAGTACAGCCAGGGTCAAGGCTTCAGCTATCGGTATGCCACCAGTTTAATTTGACAGCCAGAGAGCTCCAGTACATCGGCATTACACCTCTGACCACATCCAGAGCGCACAGAAGGCGGTTTGGGACAGACATCCAATTTTGGTTTTGATCACACTGGGGAGTCTGCCTTGCCGGATTTCTGAGACAAATCTGGGTGTGTGTCAGGCTGGCAGCACATCCACTATAAACAGTTCAGGTTACACCCCCTCTACCTCTGTATAGCTCACAATTATATAATCGTATGCCCACATTTCTAGGAAAGCCTGCGAGCCTGTAAAAATCCTATGTTGAAATGCAGCTAATAGTTAAACATCCCAAAATATTCTCTTTCTGTGTATACCTCATCACAGTATTTGATTTTGAAATAACTATTCAGTCTTTAATTAGAAGAAAATTGGCATTAGTTTTAAGACGATGAAATAACAAACAGGGTCAAATCCAGGTCCTATGAAGGTAAACTCCCACTGAAGTGACTGAACTTCCACAGAAGTCAATGGCAATTTTACATGGAAAAGGACTTCAGGACCTGTCCCACCGCAATGATGGGCCTGATCTGAGGGGTTCTGAGCTCACAGTCGATGGGAGTTGCAAATGGACAGCTTTATACTGGGATCAGGTCCCAGGAATGCAGAAAATAAACAACAATAGTTGTTGCAATACTTAAGTCCTTAGTGATATGTTAATTAAAGTATAATTAAGATAACATGCATTCTGTCACCAAAAGCTTCAGCAGGTAAGCATTCAAAGTAGTACTGACAACAGACAGCCTTGCAAAATAATAAGTAAAAATTAAACATGCACTATCTTTCGAATTGCTCAAAAGTCATGTATTTTATGATTTAATAAATCTTCTGCTGCTGTTTCTTATAAAATTAATACTAAGAACCTTTCTGAAATATTTATGAATATATATACACTTCATAACAAAAATTGTATCATATAAATATTTCTCACAGAAGCTGCAGAGATGGTGTGAGCAAAAAACTCCCTTCTGGGATTTTAGTAAAAGCAGATCTCACAAAGGATCTGTAAAGAAGAAAAAAAACAACCGTACATTAATGTAGCCTCATATATCCATGATTATAATACTCATCTGGTCATCACAGAGAGATTCATTTATGTAAGTAAAAAAAAATTACCTTCCCCCCCCTAAATATAATGTGACAGGTTTCATGTACTATACAACAAGGTATGAAATGAGATGTGTGCACATACATAGACAGACAGACAGATGAAAGAGATATAAAAATCAGAATTCAAGGATGCAGCACAATTTTAACACATTAGCTGATGATTCTGAATGCTGGAGGTACTCCCTGCAGCAAGCATCCTTCTGTATGCACTGAGAGCACCACACATCCTAGTTCATTTTAAATCATAAATTAAATAACCAAATGCTTACAGCCCTTACAGTGAGATAACATCAGGCGGAACGCTGCGAGGAATAGATCTGGCATTTTCACATAAAGCATTATCTTTGGTACAAGTACACCAGGCAGGACATTTTGGCTTCACTGGTTTCTTCCCTTCAGTCAGCAAAAGCACAGATAAAAGGCATAAGAAATAAGCAATTCTTCTAAAGGGTTTGCTGGCATTTCCCATTCTTTTGATCCGCTCTCGTTCCAGCCAGTTGAAAGAATATCCCAAAACATGAACAGGGTTCTTTATTCAGCCATTGGATGTCTTTCTCTAAGTCCAGGTCAATATTTGTCTCTGCTTTCCCAACCCTTTTCTTTCTCTTTCACTCTGTTTTTGTAGATAGAAACCTGCAGCTGATCTGTATGTTTCCACTCACTCAGGCAACGTACTGCTCAGAGAAGAGACCTGCGAGGTGCTGTAAGATGGGGAAAATCCAACCGGCTGAAAGGAAAAAAAAAAAAAAAAAAAGGAAAGAAAAAAAAGACTTGCATCACCACAAAAACACTGAGCACAACACAGCATTAGATTGCAAAGTGATGTAACTGAGAAATACACTGCTTTCTGTTTTCACAGGGAGGCCCTTTCCCTGTTTCCAAAAATAGTACAGCAGTATGTTTTGCTGGTGGGTGGGTGAGCGGGCGTGGGGTGGAGTATATGTGTGTGGGGGAGAAATCAGTCATCTCTTACTGGATCCCTACAACCTCATGAACCTTTCAAAATTATGCTTCACATATTGCAATCAGCAAAACTAATGGCAGTATCCACAGGAAAATGAAATTGAATAAAAATTGCTGCAAAAACTGTTAGATTCATTTTTATCCTCAGCCTTTATTACACATATTTGTACCACTGAAAAACAAGCTGCCACACATGGAAAATATTACAGTGTATGAGAGAATGCTTTTGATTGTCACTCCTAAACAAAATATTTTCTTATGCAAAATAGACCCCAAATATAGATTCCCCCCCCCTTTTTTTTTTCCCTCAGAAAAAGAATGCTTCTTATTTGTTGCCTGTTTTCTGAGCTGGTTAAATGAAGTAATAGGTAGATCAAGCACAGTTCTATATGAACAACATTAATTTAAAAAACGTATTTTCTTGGAACTGGTATGATTCTTCTAGATGGAAAAAAAGAAAATTCTCATTTAAACAGCAGCTGTGTTAAACCTGTAGTTAAGAATGGACCTTCTTAGAAGAGTGACAGGATAAGGACATATCTTGGTATCTTGGTAGTAATAATGAACCTTTACAATACTGCCTGGAGGCTGCAATGGAAATGAGTGCTAGGTGTGGTATGAGTGCTCTGTCAGATACAGCCCTCAGCCTGAAGACTTTACTGTAAACTACATTAAATATAGTATAGGAAACTTAAGCAGCACCTAAGTATTACTTTATTAAGAATGGCAAGACAAAGCTAAAAAATGCCAAATGGCTGGGAAGCCACACAGGATGATTTTTTTGTTCAATATAGTATTGCTATTAGACAAGTTTTGCAAACTTTAACAGGTCTTAGCACCTCGCCATCGGACTGTTTACATTAGACAGCTTACAAACACTACTGGGGTCAACCCAGTGGTACAAACATTTACTACAGTCAGGCTCACTATTAGCTCCTTCACATGGATGTTGTCTCCGCACCAGGGGACACCAGATTTCCTGATGAGGAGATTTCTTTTGACTTCTGGTTACCCTTCCTTTGATTTCACATGGCCACCTGGCTCTAGCCCATTTCTTCTGCTCTACAAGCCACAAAATCACAAGATCAACATCAGGCCATGTCTATCTTCCTCAGGAACCATCCCAGCAAGGCTCTAGTGCATATCCAGGTGCACACCTAGGATTTGATAGGCTATGGGCAGAACAACAGCTTGCAAAACTGCAAGTAATTCAGTCTATGGATACAAGGCAGGACTCCAGCACTGCTGAATCCTTGACTGGGTGGTGGCTGAGGTTCATCTCCCAGGGATGAGGGGAAACACACAGAGCTCACACCAGGCTGGGTGCATCCAGGAGGGACTGGGTGCAGCCAGGAATGTCCAGAAAGCTTTGAGAGGCCGATGGCCACCTTCAGTGGCTGTGCTGGGAGAGGACAGCACTGCCTGTGCATGGGCACATTTCCTGCCTGATCTGAGACTGTGGAAGAAAGGGCAGCTCGTGCTTTCTTAGCTCCCTTGCTCTCTGTAAAGGTCTTTATTAATTTAAGTGTGAGCCCATGTTTTTGATCTTAAGAAAACCTTCCCTGTCAGCAGTCCCTCCCTGAAGCAGCACCAGCTAAGAGTGGCAGAAACCTGGGTTATTTCTGAGCCCATCCACCTTCTGTAAGAAAATGGAAAAGAATTACAGTAGTCAAGGCACTGAAATCATTATTAAGCATATATTGATGCCTTCCCATCCCCCAGTATAAAGATGACTTCTTGCTCTGGAAATTATCTAATTGTACCTGCTGAGAGGGAAGCTAGATTTGTAGGACTTGCATAAGTAGGCTACACTATCTTCTCTCCTCCAAGATGTCCAATGGCAACAGACATGGAGAGGTGAGAACAGAAAATTCTCTCTTTTTTCCTGAAAGAGGCCTGTTGTTGTTTGTTTATTCCTGGCAAAGCCACCCATTGCCATGGCAATACTTTGCCATTGATGGTGAAGACCCGTGTTTCATTTCCTTTGGCTCATTCATTGAAATCCACCATCAATTACCTAGGCATTTCTCTTTAATTAATACTCCAACCACATTGTGAACCTCCTGAAAACTTTGCAGTGTAGTGTTTTTGTCAGTAACAAAAGCACATTCTTCAGCAGAGCAGTAACCTGACTCCAGTTTTGTCCATGCAGAGAACCGCCTAACTGGAAGTTAGTTTTCTATTCCAAACCACATGCCAAAACAACCGCTTTTCCAAAATTGCAATATTATGAATATTTATAACAGCCCCATCAAAAGAGAGGCATAATCACATTTTCCAGGGTCATTTTCTGGCAAGCTCAGCATCTCATTTCCTGCCATGTAGCAGTTTAAAACTAAAGCGGTTCATGGATTTTCAGTGGCATAGCTTCTCTCCAGCCCGGCGACACTTGGCTCACCCTTTGCCGATGCCACCGCTGTTTGTTTGCGGGCCAGCGGAGCGGGCGGCGGCCCGCTGTGCCCACGGACCAGCGCCTGCCTCGGTCCCTGCTTGCTTTCCCGGGTGTTTCAGGTACTGAGTAGGCACAATGGGATTCAAAATTCATTTATTTTTCTTTCTGCAAGGTTCCAGCAGGGGGGATGAGGGAGTTGTGGATGCGTTCCTCGCTCTGCTTCCTATCACTTGACGTTCTAGCCGAAAACCCTGCACCTTGCCGTGCTGCGGCGGGGGCCGGCGGTCAGGCGCGTTCCGGGCGGGGCAGGGGGACACCGCAGGGGTACACTGCAGGGGTCACCGGCTGAGGGACACCGCTCGGGCCCCGCGGCCCCGCCGAAGCCTCGCCGCGGCCCCGTATCCCGGCAACGCGGCGGCCGCGGGCGGCGCCCGCGCTGGGCGGCCTCGGCCGGGCGGGCCGGGCCCGAGGCAGCGCCAGGGCCGCCCCTCGGCTGCCGCGGCCCGCGGAGCCTCCGCGCCGAGCGGCCGGGCCGTGTCCCGCACTGTCGTGCCCTCGTGTTGCACCTCTCCGGTGTTAGCCAGAGCCGAGCACGCCTTAGACACCGATGGTTTCCCACGCAGCGGCTCTGCGTCCTAAGAAACAAACTGCTGTTTCTTCGAAGTATCCAAATTGTCTGGTAATGACAATTTTTGATGATAATTAACCATCTAGTAAAAATCTCGGTGCAAGTATATGACAGTCAAAATTAAAGCTACTTTTGCCTGCTGCCACTAGAGGTATTCACCACCGACCACTGTTTGTGCTCTTTGGTCAGACTTAGCACAACTTGCATGGCTTCATTTCTAGAGCAAACATATGCATCATCACCATCATCATAATCATTATTGTTATTGTTATATACGCATACATTTTTAGCACATATTCTCCAATATCTGGTTAAAATATTAATACTTCTACAAGTAAACCTGTTTGCTAAAATATTTGAGGACAGCAAACACAAATGTTCAGAACATAGAACAAAAATTATTTTAAAAATATTTAATGTTTTTCAAGGTATTAACTCCACGCCAACAACTATATTTGCATATTTGCATTGGACTAGAATGTTTTCATTACCAATATATGACAAAATTTGAATAAGCTTTCTGTGGTTTCATGCTCAACAGTTCCCTTTGCAGATCCATATCCTGTTAAAGTTACTCTTGATTTCATCCTGCTGTTAGAAAACTGTTGGCTTTTCTCTGTTCAGAATGAGCTGCCTGCACATACGTAGCCTAATCCAAAATCCACTGGTGGTGATGGTGAGACTTTACTGTGCTTGGTGTTAGGCCCATAATATTACTACACCACACAGATGGGCAGTAGTCCAAATCACACCCAGTATTCACTGGTCTCCTAAAGAACAAAACATTGTCATTGCTATGTTACCACTCTGTTTGGAGCAGGATTTTGAGATCAAAGACTCCTACAAATACCTCATGAATCTGAGTTTTTGCTCTCTTGGCTCCACCCTTTTAAGAAATTCTGCAGCAAATGGCAAATTTAAAGCAGCTGAGAATGAGGCTGTGCTTTCAATAAACAAAACTAAGTCTTGTGAATTCTAAACAGTTCTGAAAAAACTATGCTTCCTGGTGGATCTGACACCAAGAGTCATTGCCCAGAAGAGGCCTTCTGCAGGTTAGGCATAATAAAACTTGAGATGCCTTTACAATGGCTCATAACACAGACAAGCTTGGGAATGATCACAAGACTGCCCAAACCTTTTTATTTGGAAAGTTCTGCTGACTTAGCCCTATCCTGTCTATACAGGTTTGTATTATGGGTGTCCTTCTTTATTATACCAGTTTCATTAAAAGCAGAACAACCAGGCGAGTCCTTGTGTCAAAAAGCCAAGGAAATGGGTGCTTAACTGCTGCCAGTTTTGGAGGAAAGAAAGACTTGGAGGGTGGTCTCCTTTCCCGTATGTAAAGTAGCCAGTTCACAGTTCACTGTGGACTTAGAAGCGATCACCTCTGAAGTGAGCTCTCATGGCCAAAATTTCAGACTGATGTACAACACCTGCTCCACTGAGCACGTCCTGGTGAATGTGCAGGTGTCTCTGGAACTGCTTGCTGGTTTAGGTATACCAGAATTTGACCAATGACAAAAAATATGTCAGGAGAGATGTACTGATACCTGAATGATCTCTCTTTAAGAACAATAGATGCACAGTGCATTTCTTTCAAAGGGAAGCTAGGCAAAATTAACCTACTCCTAAGTTTTATTTTGTTGCAACTAAGAACTTTCAACACCGTTATGATTCTTGATGAATTGTTTGCTTCTAAGCTCTGTTATAAACTAGTGTGCTTTGCAGCACCCAACCCAGTAGCAACACATTAACTTCTCTCCTGATAACCAGCTACTTTTCTCCAGACCTACACAAAGTTATTGCTTTGCTTCTATTGTCTGTGTTTCGCCTTGAAAATGCTAACAATGGATATTTAAAGTTGGAGGGGAAATGAAAGAGCAAACATACAAGGTCAAGAACAAACCAGAGCCCAATTCAAAGATGTTTGAAGCTGTGCTACTTCATGTTCACAGCAGGAACTGATACCACACCTAACACAGGGGGAAATGTAAGAAAGGAAACAGTATAAAAGAACATGAGATTTCTACCTGCTGCAGAAATCTGCATTTTTTTTTTTTTTAAATCTGTCAAGAAAACTCTCGTGAAAATTTGCCTATAGTTTACTCAGGGAAAAATCAATTTCTCCCATGTTGGAAATGGGGACACTTTTGACATGCCCATCCAGTCAACATGCCCATCCATTTCAGTGGAACTGACACACACTCACCACCTAGCATACATCCTACTGTAAGATTAAGTGCCCTCTATATGAACCTCTCAGCAAGGAGAAGTCTTGTTCAAATATGCACGTTACTTTTTGCCCTTTCCCCCTCTACATAGCTCTATCAGACATTAAAACCACGATACTAGTGGGAGAATCTATGCTTAATTTGTAATTGCCATCTTTTTCAGAACTGGCATGGTGATTTTAAGAACATATTTCTGTGCAACACTTCCCTTAATAGGATGGTTTCTCTCTTCCCAACTCTTTCAAGTACTATTGATTCTGCTCTCTTCCACAGATCACTGCTGGTGTTTCTGTTCTAATGCTATTCTCTAAACTAGATTAAATAAATTAGCTGGTAAAAGAACCAGAAAACAAGCAAAACAAGCCTAAATCTTTCAAACCCACCCCCCCACCCCCAAACCCCTCCAAAATTGCTAGACCCAGAACAAGCAGTTGAGGACAGGAGTGGGCAGAGAGCATTGGTTTCACTGTAAGAGAAAATGCTTAGGGAGCTGCACACTTGAGGGGCAATTTCATGTTACAAATGCTCATATTTAAATGAATCATAGGACAGAAATGGTGACAAATTACCTCAGTCTCTACCAAACAGGACAAAATATGAACCTCATAAAACATCCCAGTATTTAGCTTCCATTGTTTAAAAATTATCATCTAACTGGAGGACCGACTTTCAACAGGTGTATACAAACTGACACTTCATAATTATCATCTCGATTTTGACAGCTCCTTGTACTCTTAATTTGGTATTTATTCATAGAAGGTATCCTTCATGCCTACATTCAAAATAGGATGGATAGAAAAGTCAGTCCAGTAAGAACCCTGTATACAAAACAAAATGTCCCAGATTTTCTAGCATGAGCAAGCGCTTTCTGCAGACCCAAAACAACATGCTACTGTCAGTGTAGCTAAATGCCATTTAATTGGCAGCTAGAAAAGTCTATAATACATTTCTTCATGGAAAAATGTCTGAGCTCTTCCAGTGTGCCAAGATGCTAATTAAAAACAGACGGCATGCTACAAAATCCTTTCCTTGACCTGTGCTATCTTACATGCCCTTCTGTACTTTTTCATGGCATTAGCTCCCTGAAGAATTATTCTGATCTTTATAAACTTGTCTTTAATTTTCCTTGTCATTTTGCAGACAGAAAAGAAGTAACAAAATATTATTAATTTAAATGTACATAGAAAATTTATTTGTTACATGGCAGGGACAAAAGGCTTTTGAGGAGAAAGTCTTTACTTGTTAAAACCAGGTTTCTATGTCCTGAATAATTTACAATGAAAGAAATAACAGCACCACTGAAGACACTGAAATACTTCAAGTAGAAGCTTTGCTGGAGTGACATGGACGTAATGAACTGCACAATAAGAAGGATGTGACTCATCAAATACATATTATTGTTTCATCATTGCTAATCAACACACTTTACAAAGCAGAGATTTGGATCAGCACTGAAACATTTTAAGGGGTTGGTGGTGATAGTTCCGCAAGTGTATTTTACTGATGTTTTTATTGTTCTCAACAACTCAAGAAATTTGGGGAAATACTTTATTTCAGTAAGACTTAATCCTTTTCACCTGAAGTAAATACCAAATCTGCCACCCTACGTTATGGCAGGCACGCTGCCACTGCACAAGCCTAGCGCAGATTCTCCATCAAATACTGCACCAAGCTGAACTCCAAGGTCCCTTTTTCTTACAAACCGTATTTGCCCTGCAGAGGAGACTTCAGAGGGCTGAAAATTTCATTACATCTGTTTGTTCATATGCCAATATGCTACATATTTAGTACAGCTTTAAGAAAAGATTTGCTCTTTTGGCTGCTGGCCCTTTCCCTCTGCAGTGGGAGAACAAAACCGACACAACATCTTTATCTAAGAACTGAAAGTAGTTTTAAATATAACTTTCATAGCAACAGAGAAATACACATTTTAGTTATGACTGCTCAGAAGCTAAAGGGTTTTCCCTACCTTGAATATGGTAACATTCACGTTTCAAGTTCAAAATTATTCCTAATTATCCCTTTTCTAAGACAATAATCCAAATACTATGCAGCTGACTTTCATTTTGACACCAATCTCTTGTAGGCATCTATAAGTTTCCACTGTTGCTGCCCTTGTGATTAAGGCAAAGAGTCATTAAAATTGGAGGGCCTAATTCCCAGCCTCAATATAACACATCAGTAAGAAGTAATAAGCTCCTTCATGAAGCAACATAGCTCCCCAGCTAAATAAATGAATAAATGGCACACAGTACCGATTAAACAAAGGCACACGTGGCCTTTTTTCCCCAAGATTTTTTTTTTTTTTTTTTTTTTTTTTTTGGAAGCAAATGGATGAATATATACGAGTAAAAGACAAGGACAAAAAAAAAACAAAAACAGGTTTGGGAACTCAAGAGAACAGTTAAAATCACAGAAATGGAGATGTTGGCTCCTAGGTATGGAAAGGGAGACCTGAGAAATTCGCTAGAGAATTTCTTGGAGAAAGTAATGGCTGAAAAGAGCTTGGAACTGCAAATAGTCTCCTGCTGTTCAATTTTCCCTTCACTCAGGGAAATGAAGGCTATACATTCATTGCAAATAAAGACTGGATGAAAGATACCCAATTCCATTAACAATTTATTTTCTGAAACAGAACAATTGGAAATAATGACTTTAGATAGCAGCTCAGGTCACAAATAGTAATAATGCTCTACTCTGTTTCTGACACCTCTGCTTCCCCCTCAGGGAGGCAGATATCCCTTCATATGCACATTATATATATATACATACATATTAAGATCTCTCTCAAGAGCTATATATAGCTTCTATTCACAGGCAAGCACCACAACCACTTATTCATTCTTTTCATGCTTTACCTGCTGCTTTCAAGGCTGCCCTGATGCTAAAAATAGCTTCACATATTAGAGGAGGGTTGCTATAGATTCAGAATGGGTGATGTTCCAAAGACAGCTAAATCCCTCCTTGCTGAGGATCCCTGGGGATGCATGTGATGGGCATCTCTGACCAGGGCTGTGATGCTCTTTCATAAAGACTCTTAGGCTCCAAGGATGGGGTGCAACAATTTGTGTTGTTCTTAAGGCTGGACTGAACTGCAAATCAATACAAATCATGAATGTCATTGTAAGTTTAAAGCTTTGTTTTTTATACTGTAGTGTTAGATCACAGTACAACAGTACCTTAATATATTAATAAATCTAATATTCATATACTAACTTCATTTTAACTGGGAAAACAATTTAGTATTCTGTTGTATGGGCATATTTTTCTGCAGGTATTGATGCCTTCAAGTAAGAAAATATCAAAATGCTTCACTAGTCTTCTTACTTTTTCTAGTTCTTAACATTTGTGGCTGGATTATGACTATATCTAAGATAAATGAGGTAGTCAGAATAGTATTTTCCTTTCGTTAACAGACTCATATTATAGAAACCTGACAAATACCCTGTTAATGCTGAGGTTCAAATAAAAGTTTTACAGGGAAAGAGTGGCATGGATTTACTAAACCAAATTGATAAAAGGTATTAAACCAGATCCTAATAAAAATCTAAATAACACAATCCATCTTTTATGAGCAGTATATTTAAGGACAGTGTAATGAAAACTTGACAGAATGTTTTATGAAATGCTACAGGAAATGTTTTTCATTCAAATCTCACTTCACATCCTGACCCTTATCTTCCATGTGGTTTTGCTTCCATTCAAGAAAGGCAGTCATCTAGATATCTAACTGTTAACATTTTGACTTACACTTGCAAATTGAATGTGGTTTCAGCAAGTAGCAGGATCTCCCCCAGGGTACAAGCTGCAGTATTTCTTTTTTTTTTTTTTTTGCAGTAGATGACTTTCCTCAGTGGTTTTTTGAGTCTGAAATTTTTACTTCTAGAGTTGTGGATATTGCCCAGCTCAGTGTTGCTGGCTATAAATATCATAACTTGATATTTGTAACTAAGTTAGACTAATGGTTGCCATTTACAATAGTTATCTTCCCTATTCCACTTCGATGCCATGGAATGAATAGTGTCCTGGAAATACTTTCAATAGAAAGGTTGATAGTATTTCAGTACTTCATGTCTTAATGATATTGGCGATTAAATAACATTAAACTGTATTTAATTTGAAATATAATCCCTATTATTTCCAAACCCTGAAGATCAGTAGTATACTTTTACTAATAAAAGCTCAGTTATTGCAGAATGGCTCATGGTATTATTAATTAAATGACGTCTCACAGCAGTACTCTATAAGCATGTTCATTAAAAACTGTGAAATAGGAACTTTTAACTGATTCATCCTACTTCAGTGCTCAGAACAGCTTTTTTATATCCTGTATCCTTCAGTTTTCACTGAAGGATCAGTTACTGATTACCTCAACTGGGTACTAACAGCCTCTATGTTCAGCTACTGTACTACTTTACTCTGTAATCCCACTGAAATAGGAAGATAAAGTGAGGGTCGATTCTGTTATCATTACATTATATTGTGCTCTTATACCTTAGTTTTTAAAATCTGGCTGTAAGATTCCAAACACCTGACTGCAGCACTGTATATTGCAAATAAGCTCTGATTTTTTTTTCATTGCTTAAGGACAACCAGTGGAAAACACTGTGATGAACTCATCTTACCAGCTCCACAGTACAGTTGCATGACTGGCTTTCTGGATTCCTGAGTTAAAAGCTCAACTTCTAAGTAAAGATGAAACATATCTCTAAAAAACAGGTATTTTCTGAACATGTTTGCAGGAATGAGACTGTACATCTCTATTAACATTACATCTTTGACTTCAAGGCACGTTTCTTTTCTAGGTTATACAGAATGCTGGGTGCACAAATAGTGCTTAACTGCTTGCATGATTCAGATGACAGTGACTTGTCTGTCACCTTTTTATATAGAAGATTCCGGATTCCAAACATTCCTTGTCAATGATTTGTACCTTTCCTCAATTCTCATAAGTGAATATGATGAATATATATACATGGTAGACATTATGCACAGAAATGCGTATCGGGAAAAGAGGGAACACGTATCTTTTTCACTATGGTTTAAAAATGCAATGGACTTTAACTTTGCTCATGTTTTTTTTTTTTTCCCCTTCCAAAAAATTTAGTGGGGAACAATGTACTTTAAAGAAAATAAGTCATTGCTTGTAACTCGTTTTCTTATTTATTTCCACATTACTAGATTTTCCTTCTCTTATTATTTTTTATGATTTTTTCATCTTATATAATAACTCTGATATCAAACTGGAAAAACAAATTTGCCTTTCTATTTATGTAATTGGATGCCATCAGTCACTTTCCACCAAAGCAGATCTAGTAATAAAAGTAAGATTAGGCATTCTTTGCTCTCTGAGGAAATAGTTCATACTTCAGGGAATTTAAGCATAATGAACTTCTAAAATCTCCTCAAATGAAAACAGGAACATGGTGGAGGACTCAGTTTCTGTATTCCACTTACTTAAGTGCAGGTTGATAAAACTAAGAAGTAGTATTTTGTACATACTGATAATTACTTTTAAATGAAATTCCTGATAGGCTGAAGTCGCTACTCAAGTTTATGCATGCCTACATGCATGTAGTGAGCTTTGTTCTGAGCAGAGCTGCCAGACTAAGCTATGGAGACAAAATTCACCTGCCACAAAACAAATGTGGAACTAGCACTGATGATTAAAGACACTAGACAAGAGCCTACATAATTTCTCTAGGAGATTTATTTAGTAAAATTCTGTACATTTTGCAAAAATAAGCCTAAACTTTAAAGATAATACTGGGAGTTGATTCTAAGAATTATTGTTTTATTAAAGTCTGATTTATTATTTCCATAACTGAATCAGTTAGTTTTTACATTATCATAATGCTATTATTTACACTATACATCTTATCAAGGACTTGCAGGAAACTTTATTTTAATGAAGTTTTTTGAAGTACACAGAAATTTTAGGAACAAGGTTGATGCTTTGAGTGTTCCCTTAATTACAACAAAATTAATTAATTAAGCAATCTGATTTTCAAGATAATATTATAAGATTCTTACATAACTCTGTAGTCATAGGCAATAAAACTAAAATAGGTATTAGGAATTTAAACAGTTATAGTTCCTCTTAATGTATCTGTGATTCTTTAGAATGGAAGATTCTTTAGAGTGGAAGTAATGCTACCATCAAATAAACTGTGGCTCAGGATTTCAACTACTTCAGTCCATGATAATGAAGACTAAGGCTGCTCTTCTGTCAACAGTAATAAAAAAAAATCTTGTGAATTGTGAATGAAGTTGAGAGGCCCTATAAGCATCATAGGAGGTGGAGCTAAGGGAAAAAATCAGGTTATTTAGGCTGTATTTTCTAACATTTTGGCCTAAACTGGGATTCTGTTTACCAAATTGATCAGCTGAGAATAGGGATGCAATTTTCACATTTGTGACTTCTTGGGAGAAGAAAATTCAACAGGAACTTTCAACTTTGTTTTTAATAAGAGCCTTTCATATTTGTTTTTATCCTAACAGCAGAACAAGCTTGATCTGAATTCAGGATGTGCACTGTTGTCTTCTTCAGCTTTCCATGACTGTTTATTAAACCAATTTCCAAACTTCAGTCTCAACATAAGTGCTCTGTAGACAGACAGTAGAACCAGCACCTTCAGTGCACGAGGCAGTAAGTGGTTGTGGAGACTGGAAGTGATTTGTTCACCCTAGAGGTAGAGAAGCCAGGAATAACAAAGGTCTATATATATACCTCGTATATCCTTCTAAAATGCCATCATCTGTTGGATCTACCTTTAGATATGCACATTTTCAAAATTTCTGTTTTCCAAATTGCTAATCATATTGGAAGTCTTCATGTTCTATAAAATTTGTCTCCACACAATATATCTGACACTGATATCCAATGGTGTTAAACAGAAACAATTAAGTGGAAAATGTCCACAGATAACTGGAATTTAGGAAATTCAATACTCTCATAATAGGATTAACTATTGTATTATTAGCTTTATTTTATCCTATTAACAGGTGAAATGCAATACAATCATTGTGGCTACTTATACAAAGGTCTGGGATTTTAGAACAAGGAAGGAAACTGATGATCAATCATATGATTTTTTCAAAGGCACTTTTCTAACAATGCTTATGCACTGAAATGCTAATTGCAACTTCAAAATATCATAAAACTGCACATCTTCTCTTCAAATAATGGACAAAGCATGGGCTTGTCTATGATTATTTTTTGTAACTGACCCTATACTGGAAATGTCTTTAAATACAGAAGTTCTTTTCTTGAGAAAATTACTTTATCAGCCAAACAAATAAAACTGCATTTGCCTTTTAGCACACCAACATTGACACCTAGTGGCTAGTTAAGATCTGTATTTAATATTCCCTGTATGACAAAAAAATGTGGAACACACCATTTATTGAATTTGACAAACCAGGTATGCACTGCCTGCTATCCCCACATAGCCTCTAGATTATTACAGAATATAATTAATTACTAGTTTGGAGTTATCAGTACCTGTGATGGGAACTGGTGAGTGTGAGGCCCTGCCCCTCATGTACAGCCCCACTGGTTTTCCCAGACTGTCAGGAAGTCTTAAGCTTGGGAATCAGCTGCCTGATTTTAGTGTATACCTTCCTCAGGGCTTGTTGGGAGGCACAGTACATCCCTGAAATTGTAAACTGGTACAGCTATATGAAAAAGAGCTACAGTTACTGAATGTGATGTTACTGGCATATGTGAATGTCCATTTTTAGCTTTACTTGCTTTTTCTACAAATTACTAGGGGGTTTCAAATAGGAGGAGATAAAAATCAGGAACATGACAGATGCCAAAGTACTGTTCGTACAATGAAGACACAAAAATAAATTATTTGGCAACTTACTTCATAGACATGTAGGACATAGGAAGGTGGCAGTATCAAATAGCATTAGAAAGTAATTTCTTCATTTGTCAGCAAAAGAACTGACTTAATGGAGAAAGAGAAAAGATTAAACAGGACAAATACAAGTTTTACTAGCATTCTTGATGGTTCCACGTTACTGTCTCATAATCAAACTCAAATGTAGTCTGCAGTAACAGCTCACAATGGTAGTAATTGTCAGTGACTGCCCTGTCCTTGCTCTCCATACCAGTGGTAGCTGCCTCTTCGAGCCTGCTGGCAAAGCCTTCTGATTTGCTTCATTAAAAATTGGAACAATTTTTTAGTTGGCTAACCAAACTAATTTTGATACAACAGATCAGAGGCTGTTGAGTTTAAACAACGTTACCAGAAGATCTTAGGAGGTAATCATCTTATGCAGAAAGGCTGATGTGTTTCTTCCTGGCTAAATATTGTTCAGGAGTAAACACCTACGCTTTGAATTTCTTAAAAATACATAGAGAAATCTGAGTCTGAGAAAGAGGAACAAAATGTAAGAGTTCTCCAATATGTAACCTATATAGAAAGGTTGAAGTACCTTCTCAGGCTGCAAAAAGGGAAAACTGTGGGGATATATGTCTGCCAGGATTTAAATATGTTATTCAAATGATGATCACTTCTTGCTTTCTGTACAAACTAGTGTAGGACACTAAGAAATTGACTCAAGTAGCAACAAAGAAGATTTTTTCTTAGATAGTAGGAAAAACTCCTTATACCTAAGAGGTTAATAGATTAAGGTGTTAAACTGTGAAAGCTCCCGTACTAGAACCTTTTAGGAACAGCTCAATATGTATGTCAGGTATACTTTGAATTCTGCATCTCTATGATGTATGAACCATGTCTGACTTAAACCTTTTGGATACACCAGGTCTCATACTTTATTTAGCCCATTCTAGATTTAGGGCAGAATGGAAGTTAAAGCTACAGTGATATTTTCTCCTTTGTGGACCACAAAGTTCAGGGCTACTGTAATTTAAGACTATTGTTTCACATTACTGCTGACCTGATCTAAAAGAGAGCTGCTGCTGAAAGGGCAGCCCCTGTTTCTCACTTCCCACTTCCCTCCTGTCCCATCCCACACATTTTATTTGCCCCACCAGGGTTGCTCATCCAGATAGCACATCAGAAGAGTCACAGGAGCTAGAGTGGCAGAAAATTAAATTCTGCAGTTCAGCAGGAGTAGTCAGATGAGCATCAGGGCGAGTTCAAGAAGAATGCTCTCTTCAGTAGCAGCCTGACTTGTAAAGATTAGCATAGATTGACTTGTAAAGGAAAGCTGTGCTCCTAAGCTTTGGTTGTACAGTCATCAAAATCCCACTTAAAACCTCCTGCCCTGTAAAGAGTTATGCCCATCTCATCTGTTCTTTTTCCTGTATCTTCCAGTCCTGTGGGACTCATATGACAGCAGTGCCTTTTTGGTGTCAAAACATACTGTTGCTAGAATTAAACCACGGAGATACTCTTATTGGAGCAACGTATAATGCATATACCAATGGCTAAGGGCATGTTCAGTTTCAACTTCCAGTTTATTTAGGAGGCCATTTCTGAACCCATTCCCCAGCTGTAACTTACTGTAACCACATATAAAATGCAGTCAGGTGATGTTCTAAAGCAACACAGACATTAGAAAAGCATAGCATAGCAAGATGAAATTATCTAGCTGCTATTCTCAGAAAAGCTGTTTATAACATAACTTCAGCATCTACAGCAGCTGCTATAGCTGGACTCACTGCAGAATTTTCCTGTCCCAGAAACTGTATTTTTTCTATATGCAGGCTTTGTGGCCACAGCACAATGCCAAGAGATTTGAGAATTATAAATCTTTCCTCTACCTTTCCCACTCTTCTTCAAAGTGCATAATCAATGATATGTTGGCCCAGTTTCCAGAATCACGTCAAAATTCATTCACACTAAAGCAGTCTGTCATTTCCATAAGACAGGAACAACAAAAAGATGCTTGCTATTACAGCTTTGAGGGTATACATTATTTATTTTGATATATTTAAATTATTAATTAGGATAATTCCATTTTTGCAACAGAGTCTCTGCCCTTTAGAGGAAATGGGCCACATTCAGTAGGACTTCAGCAGAATACTGCATACACTCAAATATGTACAGTGCCACTCAGTTCCTTTCCGTCGGACACTTTAGCATCATCTTTGCATATGTTCACAGCGATAATGACATAACAAGTAATACAAACACTAGGTCAGGAGAAAAAAAAAAAAATCTGAAAACAGAGATTTACTAGCCAAGGTAAGGTGATACACTCTCAGCTATGGTGTGTGATTGTCTTACTGTAGAAAAGCAGCTACCCACAACTTACATTTTACAATTTGCACGTTACAAGGGGAGCAGCAGTATTTGAATTTTTAATAATTCCCTGTATTAAGTGTGTCTGTGGTTTAACTATCCAGGAATCAATAACACAACTGGAAACATAGTCCAGAAGAGAGTACCTGTGATGGACTACAGCATTTCAGACCTCAGCAGTTCAGGTTGTGTTTGATGGGAAACTATCGATTCATTGACAGCTAATTGCTGTATCTATCTGATGACTTAATGCCGAAGATTGGTGCTTCCCAGCTATTTTATCAGCAAATATTTCTGGCTTATAAAACTCCTTTTTATGATGCAACCCACAA